CAAATCTCAAGGTGTGAACAAGGTGGGAAATAGTATTAAAGACTCTTGCTTAAAGCTAGTACTCCCAAAAGGTGACATCCTTGGTGAAAAGAGAAAATAGGAAAAAAAAAGTGCTCCTCAGAAGCCCAGTAAATAAAACTGTCTGTCTTAGCCTCGGGATGCTAGGAAGGCTCAAGTTCTCCTAAGAAATTCATAACCATGAGTCACTCCCATTGGATTTAAGGCTAGAATTCCCATTATTAATATGAGCTAAAAAATCCCAAGTTGAGAATTCAAAATAGTCTGAGTTGGGTAGTGCCTCCAGGTGCTTGACAGGAGCACACATAAATGTTCTCTTAAGGCATGCACTTTGATTTCAGGCCTCAAAGAGTTCCTACAGATATAATTTCAATTAACATTAGCTCATAATTAAAAATCACAAAATAAATGAGGAAATAAGATGTCATCGGAAGAAATCAAAGGAAACATTAAGAAGCAGAATCAGAACTTTAAAGACTTCGGATGCTATAGAAATGTTGGATACAAAATATAAAATAAAAGAAGCATTGAAGGTATAGGAAATTACCAAGGGTATTTTAAAAAGAACCAATTAGAACTTGTATAAATGAAGAATATAACCAGTGGCATTTAAAAATTTCAGTGACACAGATGAAAAGAGAATTAATAAACTTGAAGAGAGATATGAAATAATTACTCTGAAAGCATGGAGGAACAAAGAGAATGAAAATATGGGAGGTAAGTTAAAAGCAAGGGAAGATAAAGTTACAAGGTACAATATACATCTAATTGGAATTACAGAGAGTAATAATAGAGATAGAAAATGGGGGAGATGCATATCCAAAGGTATAATGATGAAAAGTTCCCAGAATTGATGAAATATAGCAATCCTTAGATTCAGAAATCCTTATGAGTACCAAGCATGCTACATTAGCAAGCCACACCTAGAAACACCATATTAAAATTATAGAATATCAAAGATAAAGAGATCTTTAAAGAAGCTACAGAGAAAAATGACCCATGAAGGAATGATAATAAGCTGATAGCTGTCTTCTCAATTGCATCAATGGAAATTAAAGGAGAGACATGCATTCCAAGTCTTTCACTGAAAGCCAAATGTAACAAATAAAGAATTACATCTCCCAAAGGCCTAGATTTGATTAGCCTTAAGAAAACACCTTTTCACCTGGAACTAGAATGCACTGTATCACAAACTTGGAATTTAAATGTGGACATTTCCCCCCGTTTTCCAATTAGCCATTTGATGGTTCACCTGTCCTACATGCCTCATTATCACCAAGCTCAGCATCTTCTGAGAGTTCCCATGACCCTTAAATTGAATTGCTTAAGAACATTGGGCACTTACTTTAAAGTGGGTTAGCCCTCTTCCAATGCCAAATGTGGAGGGAAATGAAACTTAGTCTGTTAATACCACCCAGTGCAGTTACTTTTTCACTGCCATATGTATTGCAGTTGAATTTTGTCTTGAAAAATTCCATGAACATTTGTCCATTACAAGGGCACTTCGATGAATTCAGATCATTTCATAATCACAGTGAGACCCCTTTTGAGGTGTCTTAAATTACAACTTCCTTGAGTGACAATCATAACCTGCTAGGGAGCAGTAGGTAACATTAACCACCCCACCACTGCCATGACCACCCTCAGCTGCAAAATTACTGCCCCTATTACTGGCTACCTTTCTTCTCGGAGTGGAGGCAGACTTTTAAAACCATAGGAAACACCAATGGTCTTCTGTGCGGCTCTCGCAGGGTAATGCTTCATTTACATTTAGTCATATATATAGTCTGAATGAAGTGCCCCACAAACTTGAAATTTAAATATGGATATTTCCTCCTATTTTTTCCAATTGGTCCTACATGCCTCATTATCATGAAGCTCAGCACCTTCTGAGTGTTCTCATGCCCCTGAAACTGAATTATCTAAGAACAATGGGCACTTACTCCAAAGCCCGCTTAGCCTACAATTATATGATCAGGGAAACTACTCAATGACTCACAGAAAAGAGATCTCAAGGTGATATTTTTCTCCTTTGCTACACTGTTTGTGTCTCTCCAAAATTCATATGTTGAACCCTTATCCCCAATGTGATGATATTTGGAGGCGAGGTCTTTGGGAGGTGATTAGGTCATAGGATGGAGCCCTAATGAATGGGATTAATACCTTTACAAAAGAGACCTCAGAGAGCTCCCTTGTTCCTCCCACCACATGAGGACACAGTGAGAAGATGGTCATCTACGAACCGGGAAGTGGGCTCTCACCAGATACTGAATCTGCCAGTGCCTTGGTCTTGAACTTCCTAGCTTCCAGAACTGTGAGAAATAAATTTCTGTGATTGATAAACCATCTAGTTTATAGTATTTTGTTATAGCATCCTGAACTAAGGCATTCTCCTAAGCTAGTAAGGTCTCCTTCTCTTTCACAGTCCACTTTCAGAAACTGACCCTAAATGGGCAGAATTTACTTATATCACACCACAGCTCCCAACTTCTCTTGATCAAGGAGAACAAAACTCACAAAATCAATTTCTTGTTGGGCAATTCTAGTGGGCAAACTACAGGTTTGCCTGTGTGAAAATCTCATTCCTTGTTTATTTCTAAATAGGAAAAATGTTTTTGATGGTATCTGATTCCCAATGAAATGATGTTAACAAATATTCACATGTATTGTAAGGGAGAACAGGCAAATCCTGAGGTACAATCAGTGGAGAGCCAACTTGTTTTCCTTCCTGGAAAGTAGGTCTGATTGCTTGGCATGAATATTATGTTGAAAAAAAAGTGGCTACGCTTCTCTTCAGTCAGGACACTAACACAAATCATGAAGTCTGAAAGTAAATCCAGTAGAACCAAACCACATTCATCCAGCAGCAAACTAGAATTCAGCTGTGCCCAGCAAACGTGTGTATGTGTGTACACACAATGCATTGAAATTAATAGCAATCAAAGCATTGTCCTTGTGATCAACTCCAAGGAGGTAAAAACCTGACACCTAAACCCTAACCACTTGCAAAAAGGCATTTATAAGTTAATAAGATTTTAAAGAAAATGAACGTTCATTGAAGAGTGCCTTTGCTGACCTCTTATTTTTTACATGTATTATTCTACATATATGTTGACTCATTTTTATACTTATTCTTTATTAAATGTGGCCAAAGAGCTTTGAGCCCTTGATCTCAGATATTTTTTTAAGGCATAATGACACCAGGACTTTAAAAACCCTGTAAAATTCACGTTAAAGAATAGGAGTCACTTTTATTCCAAGGTGCCATTTTTTTTTAAATTAAAATGTTTGAAATGTTCACTGCAAAAATAATACATGCTTTTTACTTTAAAAAGTGCAAGTAATACTGAAGTATATCAAGTAAAAAATGAAAGTTCCCTACAACCCTGGTTCATCTCATTCCCCATAGAGAGCCACTGTTAACAGTGTTCTGTTCATCCTTACAGACTTATTGGGTTGTTGGAAAAGTCATGACATATTTTTTCTAAGTTTTTCATTGCAAAAATGCTTCATGACTTTTCTGACAACCCAATAGATTTATTTCCTGTAACTTGCTCTTCTACCTAACATTGTATCTTGGAGATGTTTTAACATCAGTACATACAGATAAAACTTATTGTTGCATAGTATTTCATAGAAGAGATGTACCATTATTTATTTCCTTATTGATGGACATTTAGATTGTTTTCAGTGTTTCATATATAAAAACAGAATGATTAATTTTATATACATCTCTGCACATTTGTGAGGATATTTTTCTAAGCTAGATTTCTAGAAACTGAATGAACATGTCAAATGTAAAGCATTTGACTTTTTTTTAAATATATTGTGTTCATTTACAATTTTAAACTTTTTTCTGAGTTTTTCACTCATTTAAGTTAGCTGGATTTATCCTCTAGCCAACTGCTGACATGTTTTGGAGAAGCCCCTTTACAGAGGACTAAAGAAGCTGAGGAACTATGGAGGAAAGAATTAAGGATCACCTGGGAAAGCCATACAGCTACACAACCATTCCCATGTCCCTGAGAAAATGAAGCAAAACAAACAAGTATATCGAAGTCAAGAAAACAATGAGTGCTGGGTGTTCAAAACCACATGAAGAAAGATTTTTTTTAAAAATGAAAGCCTTAAATAGTCTTAAATGATGCAGTAATATATACGCATCCATATGTGGATGCTTATCTCCTTAAATCTAGAAGAGTTTTTTGTGGCAGTATTGTTAGTAATCTAATTTCTTACAAGTTTCAGTATTTCGTGACTTCAGCCTGCGTATTTCTCACAAAGACTTATGCTCCTCAAGACTAGGGACAATGTTTTGGAACAGAGAGTGCTTTCAGCAAATCTTTATAGAGCTGCCCTCAACTATCCAACTCTCCTATCATTACACAGAAGTGAATATATACGCACGTATGCATATATATGACAAAAAGAGGGAAAAGGCCCTTTTACCTTTTAAATGTCCCCAAACAGAGAAACATATTCAAAGTTTCATAGTCTTGGCTTTCAGAGAAGTGTGGAAGAAGCTGTGGATGCATTTCTTTTTCTTTTCTCTTTTCTAGCACCTTCCTCCTTGTTCCTTTTACAATATTCCTGAGATGGCTCAGTGATATAACCTAAGGAAAATAGCTGTGGCTGAAGTTTCTTCTAAGTGACAATAACCAAGAGGTCTCTCGCCTGGATGATTTCTCAGATACCAAACAAGATATTTCTCATGGCCAAAAGATTTTTCATAGTAGTTAGATTCAAAATGTCTTTTCCCAGTATAAGTTCTCTGATGTTAACTGAGGTAGGCTCACATATAAAAGGCCTTCCTACTTATCTTATACACACAGTTTCTCTCTAGCATTGACTGTCCGATGCTGGTGGGGGATAAGCAGCTGCTGAAGGCCTTCCTATATTCACAGCATTCAGAATGCTTCTCTCCAGCACAACTCTTCAAGTGTCAAGGGAAAAAAAACGCTGTCACAAAAGCCTTCCCCACATTACTTGTTCTCAAAGGTTCTTTTCTCTAGTGTGGACCTTATTATGCTGGACAAAAGCAGAATGGTAGTCAAAGCAAAGGCCTTTCCACATTCACTGCACTCATAGGGCATCTCTCCGGTGTGACTTCTTGTGTGCCTAGTGAGGGAATAGCTGTACCGAAAACCTTTCCCACATTCTTTACACTCATAGGGCTTTTGTGCAGTGTAGGTCATACTATGTCGGAAAAACACAGAGTGGTAGGTGAAGGTCTTCCCACATTCACTGCACTCACAGGGCTTCTTACCAGTGTGAGCCTGCTAGTGGCACATGAGGTGTGACCTATGGCTGAAGACCTTACCACACACCATACACTTATAAGGCTTCTCCCCAGCATGAATCCTCATGTGCCGAGCAAAGTCTATCTTTTCACGAAAGGCTTTCCCACAGTCCTGGCATTTGTAAGGCTCCACTCCAGTGTGAATCCACTGATGTCGAACAAGGAGGCAATTCTTGTTAAACACTTTCCTGCATTCTTTGCATTTGTAGAGGGTCTGCCTTGCACGAACCCAGGTGCCTCTATTTGGTCCCTGGGAGTCACATTCATGGAGAGCATCTCCCGCAGAGTCTTGCTTCTGTAAAACCCTTGACTGAAGACTGTCATCTGTCCTGCACCCATTGTGTTCAATGCTCATCTTTCCAAGGAGGGTCTTCTTGTAGGAGACTGTAAATGGCCTCAAGTACCCTTCCTGCATTTCCAACAACACTTCCTGATCTCAGGCTTGCCCCAGCGGGGAGGACCTTCTGCTCTCTGAGTCAGTCATCCTGGGAGCAAGGCTCCCTATGACGAAGCTTGGTGGTCTCCGGTTTTACTTGTCACCTGGACAGGTGCTTCAGCAAAGGCCTTTCTTGTCTCTTACCCGTGCTTTGGCTGTTAGATAAACTCTGGTTTGGGAATCGCAAGCCCAAGTGAGACCAAGAGTCTGCAGGTATCCAGTGTCACTTCCCAGAACAGGTTCCTCAGGGCCTGGTCCAGCTGCCCCTACTCCTTCTAAGTGAAGGTCATGGACAAGTCCAACACTGTTGCCTGGAACGCCACTGCAACGCCTACAACGGCTCATGTGACTGCGGCTTCTGCATTCTGCCTGTGCAGAGCACACCTGCGACTACCGATACCAGAAAGCACTGCGCTCAGCCTCCGCCAGCGGGACTACAAGTCCCAGAGGCCTCAGTTTCACTTTTTTTTCCCCCACTGGGAATTGAATTTTCAGTTACTGTAGAAGGAAGTTCACACGTGTGTTTGGAAGTTTACTCCAGTTGTATCAGGAGAGCCTCCAACAATGCACCTGAGCGTGCATGTGAACATACATGCAAGGGATTTGGTCATGCGGGGTGTGGGGAGAGAAATAGCCCTACTTATTGCTTTATTTTACTCACTGACCTACATCAAACTGTACCCAGGGGCTGGGTGTTCAAGTCAGTCTAGTCCAACTACTGAGCGTTGGAGAAGGCATGGACATTTAGTATCTCTTTTATGTTAGTGAAATCACATTGAAAAGGTTTGGCCTCGCCTCCTAAAATATTTTTCTAAAAAGAAGCTTTTCCACATGTGTCCCAGGAGACATGTACGGGAAGGTTCACAATAGCAAATACCTGGAGAGAGTCCAGGAAGGAGGATAAATGAACAGCTTCTCCACAGAACGGAACATTATTCGGCAGCCCAAGGGTGCTCTAGTCCATTGCTGTAGTGCGGGAATCGGAAGCATCAAAATTTACGCTGCAGAATCTTAAAAAATGAAGGACCTAGTCGTGCCAAGACCTTCTGGAACTGGTGAAAAGGGGACACCATCAGGTGGGGGATGGTGACAGCAGTTTGAGCAGGACCCTGATCCACTGCCTTCCCCTGCCCAAGCTGGAGCTGGTTATTAAAGTGAAGAGAAGATCTTGAAACTAGAGGAGAGGCAAATGTAAAGGCTCTGGGAAGCAGTGGAAAGGAGAAGATTGATGGTCATTCACACCGAGTGCTGGGACCTCCATCCGTCTTTGTTCTTCCTGGCAGCTCTTTGGAATGCTCTTCTCTGAGAATCTGGCCAGCTCAAGAGGAGAGACCTCAAGGTACTGACGATGCAAGTCTCCCAGTGGAATGTTTTATTTTTCTGTCTCCTGTGCTGGCCAGAACCTCAATCTACAATGTTGAAGAGGAGGGTGACAGCCGAGGCTCTGTTCACTTTCCTGATGTAAAAAATTCTTCTAATATTTCATAATTGTGAAAGTATTTAGTATGGATTTTTGTTGCTATCACTTGCTGATCATATATATAAATTAGTGTCAAAGAAATGAAAGACCAGGTAGGCATACCACCCAGGAAAATCCGACAGTTTTCTCATGCAAAGTTTTCGGTGAAAGTCAGTAGAGTCAGGATACAAGGCAGAGAGCTCAGCTGTGTTTTCAGGACAGCAGGACTCTCCCTAGGATGGGAAGCAGTCATGGATGTCCATGACCTAGGCAGCTATGCAGGAGCTGGTCTGAATGGGTGATGGACTGTCTTGTTTGGGACAGGTGCCCCAATCAGTACCAGGATGCTACACATTTGAGACAATGTTCTCTCCAGCAGTGTTTCTCTAAGTGTAGTCCTTGGTCTCAGTGATATCCACTTTTAAGAGTTAAAGAAAGGCTGATCACTATATACTGACATCATAACCATGATAATGTGGGCAATTACATAATGAACTAGCTTTGCTTTTTGGAAAAGTCTCATTTTTTTTTCTTTAATGAATTTGTCTTTCATTATATGATTTTAAATATATATATCAGCAGTTTCCAAATGATTAACACTTTCAGTCATTTGAGCTATCATCAGCAATGCTTTTAAGTAAACTGAATAGCTCAGCAGGAGGTTGGTACAAATGAGGCCACATAAATAGATATTCTACACTCAGAGTTTTTTATATGGGGGGTGGTGGCTTCTGACAAGGGCTCCTGTGTCAGCCTGGGCTACTGCAGATGACTTAACCATTGTGAGTGTAGACTGCCACCTGAAATTTTTGGTCCTTAGACACATTCATGAGCAGAGTGTTCACCTCTGTTTCTCTGCCTCCCTTTAGCACTGTAGTCCAAGCATGAACATAGACTTTTTTCTAATGTAAGACCAGGCTGTGAGTTTAACAAGACTTTGTGGATGGCTGGGGATTGCAGAGGGACTTCCACACAGAGAATAACTTACAACTGGGTATGAGCTATGGCTGTTCTTAGAGCCCTCAGTTCCAAGGCTGTCCTCCTCTAGCCTCCACAGGACTGACTTTCTGTTCAGAGCCCATTCTTTCCACATAAGGAAGAGGCCAGGTTTCCTCTACCACTCCAAAATACCTCAAACATGCCTTAAATCCCCAGAGATTAGGCCCAAGTTAAGGTCCAGAGGGAGGAAGAAGTTTACTTCTCAACCTCATCTCAGGCTTGTTTTCTCCATTTTCTGTTCCCATCTTTTACCTTTAAAGATGACTGATTGGTGTAGTATCTACTTCCTTTAGTAGAGACTCCATCCCCATTCACACAATATTGGTCTTAGCTTATGTCTCCAATAGTACATTCCTTTAGGATACAATAGAGCAACGTTTTTATGATACACATACTTACTCTTATGGTTTGAATTATATCCCCCCCCAAAAAAAATGTTGAAGTTCTAATCTCCAGTACCTGTGGATAGAACTGTATTTGAAAATATTGTCTTTGCAGATGATCAAGTTAAAGCAAGGTTATTAAGGTGGGCCCTAGTCTAGCAGGACTGTGTCCATATAAAAAAGTTTCAGAAAAAAATAGAAAGCTTCCTTCATTAAAAAGAATGATTATGCTGAAAAAGAATACTATTGTCAATAAATGGTGCTGAGACAACATGCAAAAAGAAATAACTTGGAGTCTTACCTCACACTAGATATAAAAATGAACTCAAAACAGATCATAGACTCAAATGTAAGAGTTAGATCTATGAAACTCTTAGAAGAAAACAGTAGTAAATTCCTGTGATCTTGGGTTAGGTAATGGTTTCTTAGACATGGCACTAAAAGCATGAGCAACAGGAGAAAAATGGAAAATTTGGCTTCAATAAAATTAAAACCTTTTGTGCTTCAAAATACATCACTGATAAAGTCAAAAGACAACCCACAGAATAGGGAAAAAATTTGCAAATTACACACTTGAAAAGGGATTGGTATCCTGAATATATATTAAAAAAATCTTACAATTCAATAAACAAAAGATAAAAAACCCAATTAAAAATGGGCAAAGGATTTGAATAGATATTTCTCCATAAAAGATAGACAAATGGCTAATGTTACATGAAAAGGTATTCAATGTCATTAGCTGTTAAGGAAGTGAAAATCAAAACCACAAAGAAATATCACCTCACACCTACCGGGATGACTAACGTTGAAAAGACAGTAACAAGTGTTGGTGAGGGTGTGGAGAAATTGGAAACCTCATATACCGATGGTGGGAACATAACATGGTGCAGCCATTTGGGAAAGCAACCTGGTAGTGCCTCAAAAATTTAAATGTGGAATTACGATAGGGCCCAGAAATTTTAGTCCTATGTAGATACCCAAAAGAAATGTAAAATTATGTCCACACAAAAACCTGTATGAGTGTTTATAACATCATGATTCATAATAGCAAAAAAGTGGAAACAACCCAAATGTCTATCAACCGATAAGTTGAATAAGCAAAATGTGGTGTCTCCATTAAGCGGAATATTATTTAGCCACAAGGAGTGACATACTGATACATGCCATGACATGGATGAACCTTAAAACCATGCTATGTGAAAGAAGCCAGACATAAAAGAACACAGATTGTATGATTCCTTCTATATGAATTGTTCAGAACAGGTAAATCTATAGAGACAGAAAGTAGGGTGAGGGGTCGGCGGAAGACATGGCAATTGACTGCTAGTGGATATGGGGTTTCTTCTGGGGTGAGGAATAGGTTCTAAAATTAGATTGTAGTGATGGTTGGACAACTCTGAATATATTAAAAACCATTAAATTGTACACTTTATACGAGTGAGTTTCATGAATGGGAACTATATTTTAGAAAAAATTTTTTAAAGGACCATATTAAAATGTTCTAAAAACATTTCATTTCAGGCATATAGACAATACTATAATGATCACCCATATGCTCACCATGCAGCTTAATAAAGAAAATCCTACAGATGTACTGGAAACCTCTTGAATATTCCTTTTTGATTCAATTAACCTTACACCACTCTAGAAGTAACTAGGTGATTTACTAGAGGTGAATTTGATACTTATCATTTCTTGAATGTTTTATACACTTGCTGCATTTGTATTTATTTATGTATAGATAAGAAAACATATACCAGGGCCGGCTGAGTGGCGCGTTGGTTAAGAGCTAGCTTGGGACGCCAGAGGGCCCCGGTTCGGATCCCACATATGAGGGCCAGTGACGCTGCCCTCCACAGCTAAGATGCTGAACAACAGCTCAACCTGGAGCTGGGTTGCCGTGAGTCACTGGCAATGGCGTAGGCTGCAGTCCCTGTGGCAGTGGGTTGCCATGGGCTACCGTGTAGCCAGCAGCCCAGCATGAGCAGCCCTCAAGCTGCAGTGAGCAGCCGTCCAGAAGCCAGCGACTGACCTGCCTCGCCCAGAAAGAGCACAATGATGGTGCTAACTTGGGCCAGTGAAGCAACGTCCTCCACAACCAGACTGAAGAAGAAAAAGACGGCAACTTGTCTGTTCCC